CACACACGCACTCAAACCCAGACACTCTCTCACACACACACACACACACACACACACACACACACACACACACACACACACACACACACACAGAATCTGGCAAACTGAATAAGTCTCATTCAAGCTTACCAGCATGCTTGGCAGCCTCGACCGGGTGCGACTCTTCTTCGTACTGCTGATGGGCCGAGATGAGCTCAAGTGCTGAGTCCGACACACCCAAACACAAACACACACACACACACACACACACACACACACACACACACGGGCCTGTCGTACAAGCCGTAAATACGCATACACAAACAGGGTTTTGGCCATTTAAGGTCACAAACCTCTGAGGAATGGCCAATTTGTGCCATTTAGAGTGTATGTTCAGTATGTTCAATAATTATGAGTGAGCAAGGGAGGACCGAAAATGGTCCGCACGCACGCACGCACGCACGCACACACACACAAGAGAGAGGGCAAGGCATGAAAGGCCGTTTTATCTCCTGGCCTGATGTCAAATCTGCTCTCCCTTCCTGTGGTGTGCAAATGTGATTTTCCCGCAGACATATTAGCAGACTTGCTGGCAGCTCTTCCCAATGCTAATGCATTCTCAGTTATGCAATGCAGCCAGAAAAGAGGGTGTACGTGTGTGAAATACAGGAAATTGATGCAAATGTGCAGAGAGGTAACAAGGGTTAGTAGAAGTGGATCAAATAGAGATTTTACAGTTTGGCGCTTGTGAGTCCTTTGACGTTTTTTTTTTAAATTACAACATTTCCATTACAAAGTGCGTAAGAGAAACACTGGCATGGAGATATGCTTGGCATGAATGAAAACCAAGCCCTAATTTTATCTGGAACCTTCAAAGTGGAACGTCCCCAAAATTCAGTTTGGAGTTCAAGTGGAACGTTCTGGAAAAATTTTTAATTGTAACCATATAACAGGAAATAGAATTTGTGTTGGCTGCATAGACAACAGGCACGGACCCTCACTCACTAATCGACAAATTTAATTCAGCGGTTTGGTTTTGAAGTGCTGCCTCACCGAGTGAAAATGCAGTTGACACCGTCTGTTTGAGACTGCTCAACAAGTGAGCGTCACCTAGCTCCACACCTAGTTGTCATGGTAACAAAAGATGAGCAGTGAACAGGAACGTTTCCTCAAAAAAGCCTTATAATGAATACCATCGAGTTCAAAGGAGTAATGTTATATGATCCATTTACATATTATTGCTGAAACATTTGTTTTCGTAAACACCCTCTTGTGGACGTGTTTCGATCCGTAATTTAAAGAGTTACACAGATGCAAATTTGTGTTCGCATTAAACAATTGTCCGTTTTAAATAACAGGTATACATCTCCTTGTTTAAAAAAAAAAGTATGACAGTAAAACTAACCTTCAACTGCATTAGATAGCTTTAAGCCTCTTTTTTTTCCAAGAGCTGTTCACTCTCTACCAAACTGCTGCTGATCACGGCCACCAGAGAGCGCTTATATCTCAAGTCTGCTCTCACAATTCAGACACCCCCCCCCCCAAAAAAAATAAAAATAAACAAACAAACAGATCAGTTGAACAACAGCTCGTATGTCTGGAATCTCGTACATTGACGTCACTTGTATCTCAAAAAAAAAAAAAAATTACAAGTGTTTAGACTGCATTTTCATTTCCCCCCTTTGTGAGTTTTGCAGCGTGTATGTCGGTCACGTTAATGGTGGAAACAAGTTGAAAAAGATTCAACTTGGTTTAATTTATTTCGCTCACAAAAACCTCACATTTGATCAAGGGAGGGGGGATGGGTGCCGACTTTATATTCATCGTGTTTCATGACTGAGCAAGATTGTATGAGTTTGATTTATGACTTGCTGAACCCTCCAAAAAAAGAGGAATTCAATGACTTCACATGCTCCATTTTTTGCCACGGTAACTTCAGACTTGCTCAAAACGTGAAGGTTAAGACTTGAGACTTCTGACATGCGCATCTCTGACTTCCTCCCACCTTTGGTGCTTAGTGTAACTGATCTTTTACCCCCCCCCCCACTTTTTTTAAACAGCTGCAACAAGAGAACATTCATGGTCCCCAACTATGATAGGGATAAAACCCTGTCACGTTCCCTTTTGACTGACCCCGCCATGTGATAAAAGGATAATACAAAAGAGCTAAGGAGGCAAATAGCACCTTGTAGGTCCCAACATTGATCTTCCAAATGAAACCTTCACATCATGTAGTGAGAGGACCACATAATGCATTGGTCGCAAAAAGCCATTCGTGAAACCGAAAGCAGCTGCTGGGAGGAGACATGCTGGGAATGTTTTACACACACACACACACACACACACACACACACACACACACACACACACACACACGCGCAAACACACACACCAATGTGACACACACACACCCACACACACACACACACACACACACACACACACACACACACACACACACACACACACACACACACAGTGGCACTTGGCCTCGTCTTCAAACATACGCTTTCACTCACGGCAACGCAAGCTCACAAAAATCTCCGGCCTCATAAATTAAATGGCGCTGTAAGCAGTGGGGGGGCGGGGTGGCG